AAAAAAAAATTGTTTTCATTTTCATAATTGTAACAAAAGCTTTCAAAATTTCCAATTCACGTACAGTCAATGTAAAATTAATAGATGGGGTTTTCCCTTAGTCTGACGGGTCTGAGCATATGTCGTCAAAAGGCCCTGGAGTGATGTCCCCCAGGTCAAGGAAATTGAAAGCATTTTGAGTTGAGATGGTTTTCTCAGAAATGAAACGAAAAATGATGTTTTTTTTTTCTCGCCTTGTTACAAATGGGGTACAAAGAAGGTCTAGATTTGATTCTGATTCATCATCATTCTTTATTCGTTTATTCATTCATTTATTTATTCATTATATCTTTCACTCTTAAAGTTCAAGAAAATTTTTTATTTTTTCATAGATAACGGCAGTCTTAGTGCGTCTCATGTTTCTGCGGCGTACTGGGCATTCCCCACCAGTTACAAAAGGTTACTTACACCCTGACTCTCCGTCAGTCCTCCTCACTTTTGGTCACAAAGGGCACGGAAAACATGGGGACCGGTCAAAGTGGTGCACAACAAAGGGGACGACGGGAAGGCCGTCCATCCCCGCTTTTCCCTTAGAATCAGCTTTGATCGAGTCAAATGGTTACTAAATCATAACAAATGTATAAAAATTCTACTAACAAATCGTTACAGATGGGTTCGTGATTTGCTACAGCTTACTTTTGATTTTGTGTTTTTGCAACATTCTTATTAGGGTCAGTTCACTCAGAGCTAATTGCAGGCTTCTTATCGTCCTGAGAAAAAGGAAAAAGAAGCCGCCAAAAACTAAAAGAGTATCACATTTCGGTTTTGCTTACAGGTTTAAATCCAACCAATTCTAAAACTCATTCTTGTTTCTTCCTTCGCGGAATGGAGGGGGTATTTCATCTTGTTTTCAGCCAGATCGACGAGGTGAAGCACCCTATGAGATTGAACTTCTTTCCTGTGGTTCAAAATCGAATTCGATTCCAGGTCATCTTGCTCGCAATGAGTTCAAGTTTTATTCCTTGAACTTTCTCATTCGGACGCACATGCGCACTCACTACACAGATCACTGTCTTCCATTGATGACATGCTTGAACATATGATTTCCTCGTTACTGTTTGTCACCACAAGATTGCCGTCGAGCATGAAGAACACGTGACGTCGTAAGCGTGGTCGGAGAACGTTTTCTGTTTTTGTAACTGAAGTGGAAATACTTGGTATGTTGTGGAAGACGCTCCATCAACGATATAAACATGTGGCAAATCTTGGAAAGATGAAATTTTCCAGTTTTCGCACGTTTGAGTTCCTCTGTCCACAGTCGCCTTGTCGATTCCCTCATTGGGGCTGGCTATGTCTTTTTCTGTCAGGGCAACAACGTTGACGAAAGCAGGGTAAGGAGGGGATGTTTTGTCGCAGTCCACTAATGGCAGGGGTGTTCCTAAAAATGAATCACAGTGTTGATGTGCTTTTCTCAAGGAATAACGTTCGCGACCTCTTCGAAATTTGCGATTACAGCACATTAAATACAGTGGTTTTCTGATCTCTCGATCCCCGATGCCGTACACGAACGGGTTAATGCAGCTGTTTAGGAAAGCAAACCAATAAGAAGCTAGTCCCAGGCCTCGAGCGAATGCGTTTGGGCTTTTCACTTGACCAGCGGTCGAGTACGCCATGTACGCGAAGTAAGGTGACCAACACAGAATAAAAGCAATGAGCCTCATAAAAACGGTCACGGCTACTTGACTTTGTTGGGACAGCGAACTTTCGCTTTTGATGGTCGATAATGACATACTCGGACGGCGAATGCCGAGTGCCCTTGCTTTCAGGAAGACGTTGATGTAACAGAATCCAATGATGCATAGCGGCATAAGGAAGGCAACAAGAACCACAAATGAGTAAATGGTTTGACCAACATTGGCTGGGATTTGAACTCCACACTGAGTTGACCCTGAGGAATGAGGAAAATCTCGAAATTGTTAGCTGCTTTTCCGTTGTTTATAAACTTTTATACTAAGCTTGCGTCACTCCATAATCCTGCAAGACTTTCGCCTGATAATTAATCAATTAATGATTAATATAGTAATAAAAATTAGCATGTTAATAAACAATCATACTTGCCACATTTCAGCAGGCTCCTGTTGGCGGAAAAAAACCTCTCTAAATTAAATCTCGAACAGTAAAGGAAGTTCAATTCTGATGTATGTCATTGAAAAGTAATCAGACTCATGAGTGCATTAGCAATTCTCGAATACATAATCATGCACTCCTAATTTTACCCCAAACTGCGCTCAAAAACAACCAATATTTGTTGCGAATATTTTCAGAAATAATCCATCATGGAAAAAAAAAATTTACCTACCCGGCCTAAATTCAAATACAATGAAACCTGTCAGCGGTAAAGCTGCGAGTACAAATGCTGTTAACCACGTCATAGTAACCATGGTAAGTGTTATCTTTGTCGTCATGGCAACTGTGATAGGCCTGGGCGTAAGGGTGGAATAGTATCTCACGATGCTTATCGAGGTAAGCGTAAAAACCGATGAAGCCTCAAAAAGAATGTTTACAAACCCATTCAGTTGGCATATGCTGTCACCAAATATCCAGTTACGTGTATAGCACGTGATGATTGAAAATGGCATCCAAAATAAAGCGACACCCAAGTCTGCACATGCCTGGTTCAAGACGAACATGTTTAAGCACGTACGCCGCAGTACACGAGTGCGGCATATTGTGATGATCAGCGTCATGTTGCCAACTATAGCGAGCAGCATTATAAGCAGCAGGACAGGGGCAAGCACTAAGTATTTAGTACCAGGTTCTCCGTCCACTTCATTATTTGAAAGGGAGGAATTCTGTAGTTGGCTGAAATTTAAGTCCGCCATGGGTGCGAAGCCTGTAAGTAAAGAAAAAAAATTAAAATTTTTGATCAGATTTCAAGAAAAAGTCCCTTACACCCTTGTAAATTTTTTAATGTCCTCTGAATACCCATACGATGTTCTCAACGGGCAAGGGTTGGTTGCCAAAAACAAAAAATTGCACGCACCTGAGCCTTATATTTGAGATATTTAAGGCTGCACATATTTCATATAACATTTTGAGCAATAAGAATTTGTGAGCATATCAAGTACACTTGAAGAGAAAACCTGACTCTCAGCTTGCTCTGAGCAGTGAGTACGTCACGTGCAAACACTATTCTACCGACGTTAAATTTCTTTCCTGTAAATAATGAACGCACATGCTTAAATCGAATACTTACTTTACGAAACACTGAGTTTTCAGTTGTAGTCCAATGTAAAAGAGGAGCGAGTCTCTGCAGTTGAAAAACTGAGGTCTATTCTTTCAACAGTCACGGATACGCAAAAGTGAACTTTGTGCAAATTGGAATAAGGGAGCTGACTAGACTCCTTGCTATACTCTAGGACAACTGAAAGGTGTTCTTAAAAAACAGAAACATTTGTAATAATAATAATAATAGTAATAGTTTAATATTTATATTGCGCAAATTAATATGTGGATATGATAAAATGCGCATCACAACACTTTTCGGGGGACTTTGGCCGGACTGCATCAGCAGTTTAAAAACAATCGAAGGATTGAAGATGCCCCCC